GAGAGAGAGAGAGAGAGAGAGAGAGAGAGAGAGAGAGAGAGAGAACACCAAGGAGCAGGGTTCGGGAGCTCAGTTCTTGAGTTCTTGGCCCCCAACCTTATTTCCCCCATCACATCTGTCCCCCACCTCCCTCAGTTGACAGGCTAAATATTTTCCCTTGACTTGGTGGGAGGGGCGGAGAGAACAGAGAAGTTGGCAGCCAATCCGTTTCTGGAAAGGGCGGGAGCTGGGCGAGGTCCCTGCCTTCCTGCCCCACGAGCTGCGCCCGGGCCAACCAAGGCTGGAAGTCTGCAAGCCCAGGAGGTCCACCGAGAGTCTCGGGGTGGAGTCCTTCGTGTCTCCGGACCCCGCGGCAGCCCTTTGGGGCACTCCCGGGGTGCACCCGGGGCTTCCACTCTGCCTCTCCTCAGGACTGCCCGGTCTCTGGATCAATTCTCCCTCTGGAAGCCTCTTTGTGGCTCCTCCGCTTCTGTCTGCATCTCTGTTCCAATATCTGTCTCTGGATCACACTGAAGCTGTCTCCAGCTGTCTGTCACGGGCTTTGTTTCCTCTGATCCAAAATTCGTTTCTCTCTCCCTCTGTCTCTATTTGAGATTTCTAATCCCTTTGCCCTTGTGTGCCCCCTCCACACTGGACCCTGGGTCTGCATCCACCCTTCTCCCTGGAGGATACCTGGAGACAATCAGGGCTGAGGTCATGGCAGTGCCTGCTCTTTGGCCCTGGGGAGTACACTTGCTTATGAGCCTGCTGTCCTTGGGATCTGGCCTGGACACACTACAGGGTGAGTCCCCAGCAACCTTCCAACCCCCATCTCCCTCCAGAACACCTAATCTTAGTCTTTGGTTGGTTGATTGATTGGTGTAGCCCTGGCTGTCCTAAAACTCGATCTGTAGACCAAGCTGGCCTTGAACATAGAGATCTACCTGCCTCTGCCTCTCAAGAGCTGAGATCAAAGGTGTGCGGCATGACTGATTTCTAGTTAATCTTCATTGGGACATGAAGACTAGGATTAGCTCTCAGAAGGACTTTTCACCAGATACGACTGTTATAGGAAGAGTTTATTCTCTCAGCTCCCTAAGAGGTTAGAAATGGAACGAACAGATGCTCTCCAACTCATTGCTGTTTGTGAAACTGTGATCCCAGTAAAGTCTGAGTTTACCAAAATGAGACTGAGAATTGGAGGTTGTTTCTAGGGCCACTGAATGATAAGAGGCAGGCTGGGACCAAAAGCTGAGAACCAGGCACCATTAGGCAATTTGACTTACTGTGTGTAGCAGGCTCAGAGACTGGAGCAGCAGACCCAGGGCAAGTCTTGAGCTCTGGCACCCCAGGATTTCATCCATGTCCCCCACCCTGGGGGTCCACCCACTTGGGCAGGAGGGCTATTTGAGAGAGGACTGCCTCTCCTCCGTGGCTCAGTGCTATTCCTCAGATTCACTCTTCTCACCAAGGGCATCTAGGGAGTAGGAGTAGGACCATACAGACCAAGTGGCCCTCGTGGGTTGCCAGGGGCTACATGAGACAAAGAAGCAACAGAAGAGGAAATATTAAGTGCATCACGCCATCATTTAATCTGCCTTTGTCCTCCATACAGAGAGAGCTTGGGAACCCAGCACTCTGGGAACATGAAGGGTCTTAGGGTGCTCTTCTAAGTGAGGGTTTCCAGGATCGAGGCAGGGCTCCCCTTCCTGTGTGGATAATCCAAATGGACCGGGGTAAGGTGTCTCCTGATTTGCAATGCATGCTGATCTGCCTGAGCACCCTACCCCTGTCCCTTCTGTGCCAGGACACTGCACAGGAGATGCCAGGCAGGAGCACAGTCGTCAGAACAAAGCGAGCATGCCCTGGGAGTTAGTGTTTGGTCAAGGAGCCCAGCTGCTGTTTCTCAGTGAAGCTCTCCATGGAGCTTGGCCTGAGGACAGGCAGGGGTTAATCTGCAAAGGTCTTAGATTTGTTTTTCCAGTGTCTCACATTAGGGGAGCTCTGGAGAGGCTAAGGCATGATGGGAAGTGGGAGCCTGAGGGAACCCCCCCACCTGCCTCAAAGAGCCTAATTGGCTTTCATGGAGGGAACAGAAGTGTTTTTCCTTCTCTTTGTGTGTGTGTGTGTGTGTGTGTGTGTGTGTGTGTGTGATGGTGCTAGAGGGCCAGATTAGGAAAAAGGAAGTAGACCTAAGCATTACGCTGAAGCCTTTAGACTTGCATCTTATATGAAGACCCTACAAGCTCTCCTTAGGAGGGAATGAGGCCAAGCATCCAGCCCCTATAGGGAAAAGAGCCCAAAGGCTTGGCGCACAGGAAGATAAATGGACTGGGTCCCAATGGAAAAAGTAGAGTCAGGATCCAGATGTCCATGGTCCATAGTCCCCTGAGTGCCCAGAGGTTCCAGTCCTGAACTGGATAACATGGAGGATGCAAAATTGACTTAGAACAGCCGGAGCCTTGAAGAGAGGGGTGGAAATATAAGCAGTTGTGCTGGGCAGCACCACAGGTATTCCTGTGACTCGCTGCTGAATTAAGAGAAGTTAGGCCTGAGGAGGAAGTGATGCAGGACCAGAGACCTATAGCAGGGATACTGGGCCCCAGGATTGCAGGCCAAAGACCTAAGGAGCCTTTCGGGGTTTGAGACTGGGGAGGTGAATGGGGACCAGCTTGTCTAAACCCAGAATGTCAGGCTGAAGGAGTGAAGTGAGGACATCTGCTTTGGCAAAGAGGAACTATGGACTGTCCCTTCAAAAGCAAAAATGATTTAGGTAACAGTGGGCTGGGTCCCTGAGGGCAGAGACAGACGTACTTAGTACTCAGTACTCGGCACTTGGTACTTAGTACTCGCTGCCTCCCAGGCACAGTTTGCCTTCATTTTCTCACCAAACACTCACTGAGCACCAAACTTCATGTGAACTAGGGTATAACACTGTATGTGAACTAGAGTATAGCAGTGAGTTAAACAGAAATTCCTGCCCTTATGAGGCTTGCAATAAACAAAATAAATAAGCAAATACATAGGAGATAGTTGAGAGTTACAGGGAAATAGGGTGTGGTACACATAGACTCAGGAGACAGAGGCAGGAGGGCAGAGTTCCAGGCTGCTGGAGCTACACAGTAAGATCCTGTCTCAAAACGCCATGGGCTAGGGATGTAGCTCAATGGTATGGCATTTGTATAGCCCGCACTGATCCCCCACCCACCAAAAGAGCAGGGGGAAATAATTTAGGATAGAGGGAGAAGTCTTCACTGAGGTGAAGGAGACAGGAGCCATGTAAGGGAACGTGTTCTATTTACAGG